TAGACAAGCATGGTTCTTCAAATTTTTTTTTCTCAGCCCGTGTGCATCGCAGGGAAAATCTACACATATTGTTAGAAAGATAATTTCCTGTAGATGTGCAGAATCCCTTTATAAATTAAAATAGATTCAAAAATAATCACAAAAAATGAATTTAAAATTAAGAAAGAACTAACATGGGTCATATGGGTTGTCATGCTGGTGACGAAATAACAACAAAATATAAACAGAAAATCAAAACCAATGGAAGAAACTCCAATCACATGTTTTATTCACATCGTGGGGTGAAAATAGAGAAGTTTGTACATAACTTATTTTTGATCGAGTTTTCGACCACTGGACGACTCCTAGTATAAATAAATATGATAAATATTTAGCGCTTTGGTATTTACCAATATTGGCTTACGAAAAAAAAAAACATTTCAAGATCGGATGACATTCGTAGGCCTATCTTGTATGTTTAAAGTGATAAGTTCTAACTTGTTAAAATATACTAAGGTTGGATAGAAAATATTGAGAACTTCCATGCAGAAATTTATTTTCTTCTATATTAAGACTGAAATGTCATAATTTTTCCCTCAGGAAGAAACCAGTTATTTGTAATTTATCAAATTGTAGTTCGCAAACTATAAAAATAAATACTAGGAGAATGCTGTAAGTTTTTCTTTTGCAATGTTATGCTCATACCCAGTTGCAAAACACGAGTAAAGCTAGAAATTTAACACTGCAGATTTCCACCACTTTATTAAATATCCACGAAATATACTTTTAAAAACAACGTAATATTTTCCAAATACATTTATAGAGGTCGTTGTTGCCAAAAGTATAATCTAAAATTCAACTTCACCTCAATTGTCGATGGCGCTGCTTAGTTGCCAATTACGCTCCTCGTCTCCAACGAAGCTAATTGACAGGGTGAATTACCCTGATTGCGAAATTACCCAACTTGGTTGGGCGAGTTTCAAAATTCATTCTCGAGATAACTGATTCGAAAAAGTTTTTAGTTAAATTTGTTTAAATTAGTTTTATTTGTGTTTGGAATTCTGCACCAAGATTAAATACAAGTTAAGGACACTAAGATAAAAGATTATAAAGATAACACGCTTAAATTTAATATATTTAGTATGTCATTCCAATTTTTGTCTAAGTGTTGCTCATCAGATATAAAAAAACAATTTTCATCGGGAAAATATTTCTAATGTATTACGAATATAGTAGCTCAGTAGTTGCAGTATAAATTATTGATAAAAAAATTAAGTGATATAAATTTTTGAGAATTCTTATTTTTTATTAAGCCTTGGGCCTAGCTTGTAATACTGAACTGTGATAATGTAAAGCACCCGTTGGTTTTTTAGCCAAAATCATATATTTCGCATGATAAATGCTTGATGCACCCAGAACCATAAACACACCAACCAACCATACACTTGTTCCGTGATCAAAACTTTTAATTATTACTCGAGACAATTTGGTTATAGTCTTTTCTTTTTAAATTGATATTGTATATTAAAATTCCCTAAACTGATGAATCCATAAATTTAATAGGCCTACATAATTTTTTAGCTATGTGTCTTGAATGAAAAATCAAGCTTGGCACTTGTTCAATTCTTACTTCACTTCTTCTAATATTTTCTCAGCTTGAAACGGAACCAATACTGTCAGTGGTTACTGGTTAGATTGGTTAAAGTGCGGGAATTCTTCCTTGGAGGTGTTGCTTCGAATCCCTCTAAATACCAAAGGCTTTTAAATATGATAGAGTTGCTCGGTGTTGTAGATGCGACCTTAAGATATAGGTTTACCTACCTAGAAACAAAAAAGTATATGTCTTTTTAATGAGATAATATCTCTGTTTTGGAATCCGTTAAAATCAATAAGATGCATTGAAAGTAGAGTAAAATAGATTAACTTGACCTAATGAGAAAATGAGTGACAAAGGTGGGCTCTTATTCTAATAAAATTAGTGGATGCCATGTTATATCAATGACAACGCTGAGGTCGCTAGAATTTCAAGCCTACCATTATGAGTCTATCGCACACATGTTGCGTGTCAGCTGACAATTTGTCTACGTCACAACTTCTCAATGACGTCATGATCACAGCTGTGCCTGGTACGCGTATGCCTGGCACTGCACTCTCCACAACTAAGGCACTTCAAGTTCCTTGAATTGCTGGAGTTTGACTGAATAGTTTGTTTTTTTTTATTTTTAGTAACGAAACCTGGTATAAACAAACACAGAGTTAATAAAAATCAATTTAGCATTTTGTAGTTTTTGTTTTAAAAACTACTACACCTACAGTCGAAAGTGATCATTATCTCGACAAAAGAACCGTCATGTATAGGTGAGTAAAAGGCGGGGACACACTTGTCATACACTCTTCCGATCCTACTACGATCCGATTTGCGGGATTCCAGAAGGATCGGTGCGGGATCGGAGAGGGTGAACACACATGTCATACACGCTTCCGACCCATGCCCGATTTCCTCCACCGGTCGATCAACACTTGCCAGTCTGATTTGTAAACTACGTGCAGCAGAAGGTGGTAAACATGTTCAAAAACTTTGGAATTCGGGATTCAGCCATGATGGCGGTTTGTCTAGATGAAGAGGAAGAAAGTCAGACATCTCTGAAGGGCAGTGGAAAACGAAGAATTTCGGTTCATTCTGTATGGAAAGAAAGTTAGGTGGTTTACTTAAGTGTCCATCTTATATATTAAGCACATTGGGTTTTCTCTCTCGAGTTCGTTTGGCTCTTCTACCCGTCCGATTTTCATGATTAAGGTCTCAAATTGAAGGTATGCACGCACAGATTTCACATCAAGCATCGGCATATATTTATCTTAAACCATTATTCTTAAATCTTAAGAATAAAGGCGATTTTTAAGAAACAACCCATCCTGCATCCGACAAACGAATAGACTGCAGTGTCGGTGCGTGATCGGAACCAAAATCGGAGTAGGATCGGAGTATGACATGACGCGTGTCGGAGAGGTGTGAACAACCGCGTTCAATGTTATGTACCATTCCCCTCTCCGACAGTCGTACCGCAGTATGATCGGAGTCGGATCGGAAGGGTGTATGACAAGTGTGTCCCCGCCTTAATGGAGTCAAACAAAATAAAATAACAACATTCTTAACATGTTTTCAGTTGTTAACTGCTTTACACAACAAGTCAATTCTAAATTACTACTAAGAAACTATGACGAATACAAAAAATTATTACTGTATTTATTTTAAATATAGACAAATGAGTTTCAATGGAAACTAGGTCTTTTGATGCTTTTTAGTTTTAGGTACGTTTTACTGCACGATGCTGAAATGGGAGATCCCTCTCCTGCCAGTCTAACTCCTTTGCTCTCTAAAACCACGACCTCCCAATCAGGAGTTGGAGCTATCAGAGAGTGAGATAATTTGTTCTCCAATAATAAACGTACAGTATTAAGTTTACGAAACAATGTAGTAGTTGTGATAGGCTTGGATATGATTTAGTGCTTTGATCGATTACGTTTTAATAATAAAACTCGGAAATTTAAAGCTTTGGATTGATCGGAGTTTTCTTCAAAGGCAAATCTTTCCGATATTTCAGCAGAAGCAATATAAACTACCACGTCTTTGGAAAACTGGCAGGGATTTCGGTGGAAATACTACCATTCATTACTTATCGTTTTCAAGGTTGGTTAACGAACGACATACAATTTATTACGAGTCTTACTCTAAATTTAATTCATTCTGTTCATTAGGAAATTCTACTGACGTATCACGTATGTAATAGTACAATTTAACCTCTCAGAGCGAACTATCAATAGTTTTCCATGGGAACCAAATGTAAATTACTTGACCCTCAATCGCCAATAGCCCTCATAATTTCCCCTAACTCTTATTGCACAGGATTTAACAAGTAATAAACTAGATTGAATCTAATTCTCGTAGCTGAGAAACCTCCCCCTCGTAGTATTCTCACGGTCAGATCTCACGGTGGTTCTCGTGAGAAGGCCTCGCTACCCGTGAGAAGGGTGGCCAAGTTGGCTCCGGCACGTGCTGGAAGTGTGCAGAAGCGCCGTCAGGTCGTCTGCAACATACTATAATTGCCAGGAACGCGTGGCTTCTGGTTCAATATTGTACGTGGGAAATGTCAATTGCAAGTCTTACATAGCTGAAAGTTTCTCTTTATGAGTGTATAACATTGGCTTCGGGTGCCGGTTTAATCATGAGAAAATTCAATAGTGTTTTTAATGTTCGAAACTGGATCCTGGTGAAAATAGTTCTGAACAAAGAAACAGCTGATCTTAGTAACAATACTAGCAAGCACGATTACTAGAAAAATACCGGTATGGATCATAAACATAAACAAATGACGTCGTTGGCCCGAATCCTCTAGTAATAGCATTGAACATATGTTCTGGCAGTTCCATTTAAGCAATGTTAAATAATGTTTATTTTCGGGCCAAAAACGTAATTTGTTTATGTTTATGATCCATGCTAGCAAGTGATGTATTCAAAACTCGTTATACAGTCATATTCCAATTAAAATACGACGCTGATATATCAGCACTGTCTAATAGTGTTTTACAGCAAACACCGTATGGATATTTTTGATGGAAGAATATTATTTCCATATTACTGCTCCCACCCATCGTCTTGGGAACCAAACCTCTGCCAGATCTGACACGCAATTGCGTGTGTTGAATGGATCATTTTTCTTCCAAGTTGTATTTATCTTCCATTGTAGCTAACATTTCAATATTGATTTAAAATTGGGGTATATCTTACTGAAGACGGTCAACCACACATTGGAAATCTCACCACAAAAAAATGACATAGGCTAGTTTTATTACAATTAATTTCAAAAGCTCTTTTGGCTCTTACAATTTAAGTACTGTAATATTAAGACAATTTTCACCTTATGTCGTTTAAAATTTAATTAATATAATCATACAGTTGACGCTGTAAAAGTATAATGTATTTAAATCAAATTAGTTTTAACAAAAATTTATTTATTATGCTTTTACCAAAGAATTAACAACACTCGAATATTAATTTTCATCTTGTTTACGTTCCCAGAGGAAAGAACAATTTGACCGCTTCTTCATCGTCGTATTTGCAATAGTCTGTGAAGTGTGTCAAGTACTCCAACTCCTTTGGCGAGTATTCTTCTGAGGGTTTGTGTCGTCTAAAGGTCGGACTGGGTGGCTTAGATCTCCACATTAGAGGCTTGCCGTGCTTCACGAAAGGTTTGTCAAGCGCTCGTTTCATACTTCTCGTCAGATTGTCCAAGACGGCTACTTGTCTTCTCGCTTGATGTGCTTTCTCAAGAGCCAAGGCATTCCTGCTGTGTACAGTCTCCTCAGCTTCTCTCACGATATCACTAGGAAGAGAGTCCAACTTCATCATGAGATCTTCGTAGAGTAGTTTCAAAGCTGTTAGAGTCTGAAGGGTTGTCATGTCAGTTTCTCCGGCTGCTACGCATTCTTCGTAGGCGTGGTCAACGTAAACGTGTGTTAGGATAACAGCCTCTGAAGAAACTAAGTCTTTCAAATCTGTGTTGAGCAAGTCCTTTGCAACTTCTTCCAACATGTTCGCCCTCTGTTCCTCTTGTCCAATTTGCTTTTCAGCTATCTCGAGTTGCTCCTCAATAGCTTCTATTTCAGAGTCGAAGTACTTTTTGACGTCTTTCAATCCTTGTACCATGATATCTTTCGGTTTTCGGATTCCCTCGATGATCAGAAGGGAGCTTAAATGTTGAAGTTCCATATCTCTAAACACTAATCTGACCTGCCATGGATCAGTGAAGTATAATTCTGGAGGTCCTTTTTCAGCAGCGATGTCCTCTTGGAAGATTTCTATCAGGTCGTTTAAAGACTGCACGGATCCTTCAGTGTCCAATTTATACCTATCAAACATTTCGTTGATGTTTTCTATCTCGTTGCCCTCTTTGTCGGTCAAGGGATGTTCTTTCTGCCACGAGAGAGGGCTTATTTGGTGTAAGAACAACTGGCAAAGTTTACAGTTCCTCCAATTCTCTTCAAGCACGTAAAGATTGCAACGAATCTGACTCAGTTCTTTCATAAGGCTTTTCAGTTCCACTCTCATCTCCGTGGTTTCTCGAGTCATTCTGTCTGCTTTTCTACGTATTTGCAGCCATTCTTCGTGGTCTTGGGCTTCAAACTCTTTAAAGGAAGTGTAATAGTTTTTAAAGAGATTTGTCAGGTCTTCGATTCTCTTCTTTTCGTTACGGTGTTGTTCGTCGATGAGATACACTTCGTCCTGAAGGTATCCAGTCTTCAATTTCGTGTGTAATATTTCTCTAATCTCTTCCACATAGCTTCTCAATGAAAATTTACACTTGATTGGCCGTCCCTTAACAACGGAAAGATATGCTTCGTCCATCTTCATCTTTGTTTTAACCTTTAACTTTTCATTTGGTGGGACATACACTCTCTCCGTGAAATTCTCCATAATCCTCGACCTTCCAGATGGTTTATCAATTACACTCAAGTGCTTTTCCTTTTCTTTTAGCTTTTCCTTTTCAGCTCGTTTGATCACACTGTATGGGATCCCTACAGGAGGTATATTGGGAAGTATATAGGCTGGTCTTTCACTCGCTACTTCTTGTAGTTTGTCAGGGTCTACTTTTCTTCCAGACGTGAAGTAATACTGCGAACGCGGCTGACGACTTTGATGGAGAATCTTGTCAGCTACTGTTGGAACCGTAACAATTGGTTTTACAATTTTGAAGTTTAACTCTTTTTTCAATCTCTTCAGTGTCTCTGCTCGGTTTATCATAGGTGTCGTCACTACAGGCGCTGGTTTGTGCTCGTCAACCATGTGTCGTTTGAACATCATTGTAAAGGCCTGAAAAAAAAATAAAGTTGTACTAAAATTAAACAAAAACGTACCTATCTGTCAAAATGGCTGTGATTGTATGGTCGTGTATACATAAATTTGTAATAATCTAACCGAGGACAGGCAATACCTAATAGGGATTTTACATTAGTTAACAACTTTTCCCGACATCAGTATAAAGGTTTGGGTCTTTCTTAAAAGTAACAGAACAACTCATTTAAGACAATGCGTCTACCTCCTACCGACATAAAATCCACTCATCTTTAATTGAAGATCACACCTACACCATTATGTTTCATCGATATTCGAAAGCATACTACGTAAGTATTCTATTAACTACTAAGAGCATTTTTCAGTTCAAGGGCTAAGCTTTATATTTAACTTCTGTTAGTTCCTGGGTAAAACAGACACAAAAATAGAAAAGCCCCCGTTGCAGCAAACCAGCACACCATGCGAATTTACAACTGATTTATTGGGGTTTATCCTAACAAGTTCAACGTATAACTAAATTCTACAAAGCCACGTCTGGCATAATAATAACGATTAATTAAGGAGTATTTAGGTTTGGTGCTACGAGAGACACACACTTTGTGTGACTTTTAAGCTTAACAAGAAATTTAAAAGTTCAACGTTTGTGAAGATAGCGTAGAAAACTACATTAATTAAATTGTTCTTACTAAAGAGGGTCAACGTACTGCGCTGTTTCACTCTGTATACTGTATATCTAAAACTAGGCTTCTCCATATGTCCTATACCAACAGTCGTAATGAATTATACAGCACACTGGATTTTTAAGCTTGATCAAATCTCAATCAATTTTCAATGTCAGACGATTTAGGAAATGAATAAAAATTTAAATCCTGGGTTAATCCTCCAACCATCATTCCCACTGCGGAATCAAGCCCGTTCGCCAATTGTTGCATATAAATGTGGTTTAAACACGTTTTATACTGTAGCCTACTAATTGTATTAAAATCTGTAAGTGATCAAAGAGTACATTTGGACCTAAATTTTAATCTTAACGAACTGTTTGTATCTTCTAACCTTAAAACAAAATACAGTACTGCAGTGGTAAGATACCTAGGTCTTAATCATGGACGTACCCAGAGAGGGGCAGGGGGGCAGCTAGCCCCCACAAGCCAGGTTGAGGTATAAGAAATTGAGATTCTATTAGTATGAGAAAAGATTAGTAAGATAGTTTACGGATTATTTATTGATTTTTTTGGTACATGTTATGAATTTTTCATTAGTATCTCAGTTATTCTTCAATAAAATTAAAATTGCAACAGTAGTAATAAACAGACCAATTTCTTGCACTATGTATAAACTAACAACTTCGTGTAGTATAATGAACTAATATAAACCTATTTTTTGTGAAATTATTTTTTTTTTCATTTGCCTTCAACAATAATGTAACAAACAAAATTGCTCTTACGGCATACGTTATCAGGCATTCTTCAAAATAGTTAACCATATATTTCAGGTGTTATGAATGGATGTGAAAAATTGGCATGGACACAAAAAATACAGTTAAATGTGTATTTGTAAAGCTAAGCAGCATAACCTGGCCCCATTGACGGACATAAAGCCGCTGAATAAACACTGGATTATCGAGCTAGGTTTGTTATTTTAATGTATCAAAATAGCAGTAAAAACTCTAATTTCAGCATATTGTTTTTAAAATTTTCCTGGGGGTTCCCAGCAACCCCTGTTTCAAGTATGCTCTTGCCCCCCCCCCTAATTTTGATCCTGGGTACGCCCTTGGCTTGGTCTTGATTTCTACCGTAGCTATCAAGATAATTATTACTACAGTATTTAAGTAAGTAGCTATCAAGCTACTAATTATGATTTAGGGAAGTAGCTATCAAGCTCCTTATTACGATTTGGGGAAATTACTTTATACTAATTATTATAATTTAGAGATGTAGCTAATGGCTTCTTATTATCATATAACAACTACTTTCCAAAAGCGCAATTCTTTTACATATGTACGGGCTGAAATAGTTAAGCTTATTTCGGACATTTAGACCTAAACTTCTAACTTTTTATAAAGATTTGTATTTTTATTCTCTTTAAAAAGAGTTGAAGATGAAATCTACTAAAATATTTCATCCCTGTCTTAAAACATAAATTTGTTTTAAATTGGATGTAGTGAACGTATATTTAATCAAAATTGACAATAAATTATAAACAGTGACGAAATTTCACAGTACAATTTTCTTTTTGCCGTGAGCAAGTCATGTTGTTGTCTACCAGTATTTTTATGAAATGGTTAATACTAGATTAACAAACTTAACCCTAATCTAGGATTGAGACTTGTGTAAATTAAATTAAAAGTGGAATTATAGTGTAATTAAAACATGGTTTCATGGTCGCATCGTGGCATTGATTTCATATCGAATTAAATATACAGCCCCATGTGTAAGTGACTTACTTCAGTATAATACAAATAAATGCACTGCTTTGCTGGTCTTAGTTTAGAAAACAAAGTTTTCTTCTAACTAATAAAAGTAGACAATCGTGTTTGCTTACCTTTTAAAGGTTTACCTGGATACAAAACCTGGCGACAGCAGCGCTCGGTACGGTTGTTTACTGCACTATTCCCATGACAACCCCATGTGAAGACGAGAGCTATAAACCCTCTATAGTATTGAAAAAACACAAGACATCCATCATATAAACACACAATTTATAAATAAATGTTCGTATTTACACAGAAAGATTTTACTACGTAAATAATAACACGGATAAAAACTGCTGCGGTAACCTATCTGTTATTCACTGCACTAATGAAATAATATACGAAACTTGTAACGCATTTTGCAAGTAAATAATTTTTTTATCACGACATGAGGTAAGGTTATACGCCAGATAGATGTGTTTATTTCTTCAGCTGGGATAACATCTTTCGCATTCTTTTAAATCTCAAAGGAAAAGTTTATCAGAAATAAAATCATTGTAATATTATAACAATGTAAAATTTTAGCAAAATAACTTAAAATATTTTGCATGAACACCAACACGTAAAATGCTTATCAAGGAGTTGTTTATGATGACAATGTGAGGTATATACAACACGGTTTTGACATTGATAAATCGTTCTCCCTTGAATATATAGCATCGTTATCAATTGCCAAAAAAGACGGTTCGGAGGATGTATTGATTGAAGCATATAGATTAAACATACACTGAAGTTAATGTCTTATCTTTATTTATTGATTTGAAAACGAAAGGATACTCGATTTGGAAGCAAATTAATTGTATTAAATTAATCCAATGTAGTCTTCTGCCAGTGACTTAATTGTTTACAAAACCTCCTACTACTTTTGTTCAGTTGTTGTGTGCGGTATCAATTTTGTTCGAGACAACAAAAATTCGTTTAATCATTCTATTTTTTATTAGGTAGTCTCTTGGTTTCTATCCCCGCTATATTTTGTATTTATTTTTCACAACAGTTTGTGTATGGTTACGCGGTTAACGTTTCAAATCAGATTATTACCTCCACCATAAACGAAATAGAAACACAAGATGGTAATTTATTAAATAATAAATAAATAAATATAAATAACGTCTGGACTCATACTCAAATTGCGCATTTTAATTGAATACAAAGCTTGTTTTCAAGGCAAAACGGTTAATAGGCAGTTATGTGTTTAAAATCTACTAATTTACAATAGTTAAATTTGATCATTGTAGATCCATACCATTAAGTTTTACCTTTGACTATTAATACAACAACTGTATCCAATAGTCCAAGGTTTTACCTACCTCTTTCGGGTTAGAAACTGAAGAATCAGCAAGTTATAATAACCTAATTACAATTACTTTACCTATTATGAAAGTAGGTCAGCATCACTGGATCTTTGAAAATGAACTCTAGAAATAAATCAAACTTTAGGAGACGAAGCCCTAAATTAAATTTTTATTAATTTCCTTTCACCCCTCCACTAGACCATAAGCATACGCTTTAAAATTACACCTAAATTGAAAAAAAGAATTAAATGGGACTGGGGAAAAAGAAATAACAGAGTAACCTTTTTAGTACGGACCAACTGTAACCTTTAGTAACCTTACTGAAGTGCTGTTTTTATGTATATTTAATTTTCTAGCTACCAATATTTTAAGTTGTAATGTGAAATTTAAATATTATTTGTTCATTAATTTATTCTGTCCATATCCAATCCACGGCTATTCCGTTTTTCTTGTTAAAAAGCTTTGTAATTTTTGTTAAGTATTGACTACACTCGGGTAGGCCTTCTTGCATTTAGGTACTAATGATGGTTTTAATCAATGGAATTTTAAGTCAGGGATAAGTTAATGTTAAAAGTTGAAATTTTTGGTGTTCTTAACTTGCATCGACCTTTACTGTACCATTAAAAAACTCCTCCTGTGCATAATCCAAGATTTGCTGCCAAATATAATAGCAAAGTGAAAATGTGTACACAATTATTCTATTACAGTATCTTTAAGTGAAAAAAGTTTCCTCTCCGGCCGGGAATCGAACCCGGGTCTCCCGCGTGACAGGCGGGGATACTGACCACTATACTACCGAAGAACTTGTTATCTTGAGAGTAGTATATATTCTGTGTCTTGAGTTAAATAATTAAATTTGAAATATTTAACACATGGGCCAATACCATTTTAACACCTATGGATAAACCAAGATTTGCTGAAAAATATAATCGGAAAAAGAAAGGTTGTTTATGATTTAAGTAAATTCCAAAACAATATTTCAATCTTTGAACGAAAAAAAGTTTCCTCTCCGGCCGGGAATCGAACCCGGGTCTCCCGCGTGACAGGCGGGGATACTGACCACTATACTACCGAAGAACTTGTTAGTTCGTGTTAAATAATTTAATTTGAAATAGGTAACAAAATAATTTACTCTTGCAGTATCAAAGTTGGTAAACAATGAAAGGTTATTGAAGGTTTGTTGTCTGTTTTTAACTTTTATCTTTAACATATCATAACTCGGCCACTTTAAACTTTGTGCAAATAAAAATTGTTATTTTTGGCCCTTTATTTGAATTTTATTTAAGGTTATTCTTAGGTTGTCGGTTACTCATCACTAAAATAAATTAATCACAATTTACTAAAAAATGTCGAGGTATATTTCAAGTTTACATCAAAACTCATCTTCAGCCTCTAGTAACAACATATCAAAGTAGATATAATAGGACAAAGATACCCCACTTTCGGCGTTTTAGAGGCACTTTTAGGGCACTTTTTATAGGGGAAAAATGAGAAAAATGAGTGGCTCATTTTTTTGGCCACTTTTTTAAAGACCCAGCTCTCGACCTATACACCCCTATATAAATTTTCTACTTTTTTAATACTGAAAAACACGTCTGGAATATGGCTAATTTTTTTGGCCACTTTTTTAAAGACCCGGCTCTCGGCACGCGAACTCGGGCGCGCTCCCGGCTTATGACGCGCTCCCTTGGACATCCTTAGTGGAAATCCATGAGTTCTGGCTACTTGGGAACCCAAGCCATTTGACATACAACGAATCACCCTTTCTCCTAATTACCTTCTCTACCAAATACATGTCCTTATACTTGGTCTTTAACAACTCCTCTGTATAGAAGCCTCCCCTGATTATATTGCCATTTTCATCTTTCAAGATATAAGTCACAGGCTTTGTATTCTTAACTTCTGCTATTGTAAATAGTTCCCCTGTCCAATTTGGAGTATAACCTTTACTAAAAACATGTTTATACTTGGAAATCCTTACGCTATCACCTACCTTATATCTTGGCTTTTTAACTTGCACTACTTTAGAAGTCAACCTCTCATGCACATATTTACTATTCTTAACATTCACTTGGTTAGGCTTCATTCCTATAGATCTATGCACCTTATTATTATATTTTCGAATTAACTTTGGAAGTAAATCCAACCATTTATAACTCCCCTGAGCACTAAATTCCCTATATAACCAATTCTTTAAAGTTCTCTGAAACCTCTCCACAATTGCAGCCTTAGTTGTAGAAAATGTGTGATAGTGATTAATATTTAATTTTTTCATTAGTTTGTTAAAATATTGATTAAAAAATTCTTTTCCATTGTCAGATTGAATGTTTTTAACCCCCTTTGGTAGAATGGTTTTAATGGCTTCTGTAACCACTAACCCTGTCTTATTCTTTAGTGGAGCAGCATAAGCTTTTTTAGAAAATGTATCTATTAAAGTTAAAATATATTTATTGCCAGAATTTTCTCTAGCATAGTTTTGCATATCAATTAAATCTATTTGTACGGTTTCATTTATACCTAATACTTTGAAAGACCTTCTTATGAAATTCTTTCTTGCAGGTTTATGAAGTTCGTATGCAATTTCATTCATTTTTTATAACATCATCCTTTCCTGTAACTCTAAATACATCACCATTAGCCCCAATCAATAGATTATCTTCCATTCTTTTAAATACATAGTTTTCTGGTATATATGGTCTATTATCTATATACTTAAATCCACTCAAAGATGTGGGGTCAGCAACTAATAAATCAGGATTGTATTCCATCAAATTAAAATTTTTTTCTCCATACACAAATTTCGATCCATCATAACGCATAGCTTGTGACATTAGACAAATATCATCCAAATGTTTCCCCTCTGGTAGATTTCTTATAAATTGATTTTTGGCATCCCAACAATATAGTTTTTTATTATAAGTTATAGTCTGTTCTTTTGTAACACAGTCAGTGTCATCAATGGCAGGTTTAACACGTACTAACCTTTTATTATTAAAATTCCAATAGCCTGCTTCCATTTTTGGAACTTGTGAAACATTCACAGCATCTTTACTATCTGTACCTTCCATCAAATTACTAATTTTCTGTTTCTTTGCATTCCAAACACCATTCTCTGATTCTAAAAATTCATAATTATTATCGTCTTGTATAAATTTACCATCTTCTTTTCGTATTAAAGTCTGTTGTAAAGTGGGCACATCATCTAAACTTTCACCCTTTTCTACATTAGTAATTTTCCGTTTCTTAGCATTCCAAACACCATTCTCTGATTCTAAAAATTCATAATTATTATTGTCTTGTACAAATGTACCATCTTTTTTTCGTATTAAAGTCTGTTGTAAAGTGGGCACATCATCTAAACTTTCACCCTTTCCCACATTAGTAATTTTCTGTTTTTTAGCATTCCAATTTTTATTCTTAGATTCTAAAAACTCATATTTAGTTTTACCTTGTAAAAAGACATCACCTTTTCTAGTTAATGTCTGTCCCAAAGTTGATACATCATCTACAAACTCTCCATCTTTAACACTACCAATTTTACGGTTTAAACCATTCCAACTATCGTCTTGTAAATTTAAAGTAGGTTCACTACTAGCCCTGGGTTCTGCAGGCTTATTATATGGATTATATAAACGATAAAATTTATCTATAAACATATTTTTATTTAATAAATAATTCCACTTTCTCTTAATTCCTCAATAATGGAATCTATTTCATTATCCACTCCTGAGTTACCGGCTTGGCGACTTAGCCAAAGAAGTCTTAACCTATCTACAAGCTCATTAGGATCATCCCAATAAATATAGTCTATTTTATTACCAGTCACTTGTCTCAAACCTTCACCAACAGATTTAAAAAGAGGTTTAATTATATTAAGATATTTAGTATGTCTATTACTTG